TAATTCCCGTGAAAACTTAATGAAGTTGGGATGAAAAATTGTTATGGTTTTGGTCTGAAATAAAATTTACGTGACGAACAGTAGTTTAGCAAGATATTATTAGTTTTGTTTTGAGCATATATCACTACAATTTTGCTATGTTTTCATCAACAACTACAAAAATGTTTGCACTAGTGATAAAATGGCATTTCACTCTAATATTCCACTTGGATAAGTTTTCAGATGTCGAGAATATTCTTTTTTTGCTGACAATTTTCAAGTTGTTTTCATTTATTAAAAAACCCTTCAAATATTTTTTGGTGGAAATTGATGCTGCGTCTAATGGCATCCATATTTATTTAGTGAATGCATTTTTTAATGAATCGAAACCCATTTCACATAAACACGTGCATTTAACATTACACCAACGGCAATGGCTAAATAAGTTTCTCATATGCAGTTAATTTACACTGAAACGCGTTGCTGCGTAATTCATGTTAGGCAAATTAAATTTGTTTTCCATATGTGATTCTTATCTGCATAAGCAGCCTAGGCCTGATAATACAAAGGAAAGAGACTCATTTAGCTTTTACTGTGAATCAAGCTTTCAAACTTTGTCTATTGAAACGAACATTAACCTACCATCAAGATGAACATTTAATTATAAACATCAGTTAGTCCGAACGCCGTAAAGTTAAATTCCAATGTCTGTTAGCCTACTTTCACACCTACAAAACTGACAGACATACGTATTTCATAGTAGTGATAGATAGTGACTAGCTGTGGAATCCAGGATGTGCGTTTCACCCCATTTGAGACCTACGTCATAGTGAATGGTTTTGTTCCCCCTAAGACTCGAACTGGGAATCGGTCGCTTCAAACACCAGGATATTAGCCATTAGGTCATCGAGTCAATTTCCAGAGATACGAACTCAGCGCTAACATCGTTACTTGAAGAAAGTCATGATCTCATTTTTAAAAATTCACAGCAGTTCATGAGCCGCACGTAGCCACAATCTGCAAGAAAGTATTTGCTATCATAGGTGTATATATAACATAGTGTTTACCAGTCAGGTCCAAAATCAGAACTCATAAAATGCTTAAAGCCTCGTAGAATGAACAGAAAAAAAATGATAAATGATTACAAATCATTGTTAAAACTAATGAGAATTTTCATGGAGTCAGATACAAATTCATGGTCATTAATAAAAAAAGAAGTAGTAGCTGGTAATCATAAGTGAAAGAATCATGAAAATACATGGTTTGATCGGAAAGCGTTAGAATAGAAATGCTCGATGGATTCGAAATCATCCAGCAAACATAGTGTTACTGAAATTGAAGCCTATTTAGTTACAGAGGCTGAAAAAGGTTATTACAACGAATTTCGCTGGACCAGATAACTGTAAGCTGCTTTATTCCACAGTTGAGCAATCTAAGTTTCTTGGTACCCCTAATATATTTTATAGTTCTGTTTTTTAAAAGGTGGACTGGTGAATGGAAACAACTTTGTTTTCAGGGTATACATTTTGGAGACTGCTTTTTCCTTCATTTTCAGATGGTGTTTATTGTTACGGATTGTTTGCAAGACTACTGCTTACTGCTGTAATGCCTGGAAATTAGGCTGTTCTAGTGCAAAGTTTCGTGCTCACGTGCTGACCTTAATTGACTTTTACATTCACAATGTGTAATGTACATGAAATGATTTGTTATTTTTTTATTATTTTATTTGTCCCTTGGGTTCCTAATGGAACATAGAGCTTCAGTAGCATGTCTCCATTCCACTCTGTTCTCTGAAATCTTTTGGACCTGGCTGCATGACCGCCCAGAAGCTCTCATTTCCTCCTCTCACGATCTCCTTTATGTCACCCTCGCCTCGGACGCCCAACTCGTCGCTTCCCATCTGGGTTCCTCTCAAGGGCCTGGTCTGACGCGTGATGTCCCCAGTCGGATTTCTCAGTGTATGCCCAATCCATCTCCACTTCCTTCTCATGCATATCTTTTCAGCAATGGGTTCTTGGTTGGTTCGTTTCCGGGCCAGAGTTCCTTGCCGCTTGTTCTTAAGACTGGCCATCTGATCTTCAGTAATGAGCCAGCGCAGGCAGCTGTTGATGAATGTCTGTTATTTTTTTGGAAATCCTTTTCGTAAAGCACCAAGTCTCTGAACCGCCACATAGAAGCACTGACTTGACGTTGAAAATCCGGATCTCGTTCACGCTTTATACTGAGTGAAGAAGATCTCCACACTGGTTTCAGGTTAATGAACGCCTGTCTTGCTTTTCCGATCCTGGCTGGCTTTGACGTCCTCGTCTGCGCCTGTGCCACCTGTAGTTGAAACGGTGCTGCCTAGGCAGATAGGTGAAAGAGACGACTTCCTTTAAGTTTCTCCCGTTGATAGTGATTGGACCTTGTTGTTGCTGTTGCTGTTGTTTAGGAATCCTCATCACTTTTCTTTTCTCTACGTTCACTTGAAGTCCCATCTTAGCTGCCTCGCCTTTTTTGTCAACTTGTTAGTTTTTGTTGACTGTTGTTAGTTTTTGTCTGTAGATTTTCAAGTTTGTGCGGCATCAGACACAAGTAATTGGCGAAATCCAAGTCTTCTAGGTTCTTTTCCCTGGTCCATCCAGCGTATCCCCCTCTTCTCGCTCCCCACTGCTTGTTGCATGATCCAGTCGTCCACAATCGAGAAGATCATGGGTTATAATAGACAGCAACCTTGTTTTACTCCTATCTTCACTTCAAAAGCACCACCGAGCTTCTCATTGTGAATTAATTGGCATTTGACGTCTTCATATAGTTGTTGAATGAGATTGTGTTGAAGTGTTGAAACAACTGCCAAATTCCTTCGCGGTCAACGCTGTCAAAGGCCTTCTAAAAGTCGATAAAGTTGAGGTAGACGGTTGACCGCCATTCTGTACTCTGTTCTATAATGATGCGTAGTGCTGCAATTTGATGCGCAAATGATTTATACTTCCTGAATCCAGCCAGCCATTTCCGGTCAAAGTTTTGAATCCAGTGCATCCTTTAGTCTCTTCAGGATGATGCGGCCTAATAATTTACATGGGGTGCACAGGAGCGTGATTCCGTGCCAGTTCTTGCAAAGACATAGGTTGCCCTTCTTTGGGAGTTCGACAAGGTAACCTCTCTTCCAATCAGTCTCCCCAGGTACCTTCCCTTCCTTCCACACCTTCTGCAATAGTGGTGTGAGCATGTCTGCTGATGTCTCTGAGTCTGCTCTCAGTGCTTCTGGTGGGATCCCATCTCGTCCTGCTGCTTTCCAGCATTTCATTAGCTTTATGGCTTTCAGGACTTGCATTTTTGTTGGAGGATTTATGTTCACTTGTAGTTCTGTGGCTGGGCTGCAGGTGGTATTTCTGGACGAAGTGCAGGTGGTGGTGGTGGTCGATTCAAGAGCTTCTTGAAGTGGTCGGCCCATCGTTTCCTCTGTTTCTCTTCTTTTGTAATTAAATTTCCGTTATCATCTTTTATTGGCTTCGTCTGCGTTGATCTCTCCCCAGATAGTACCTGGTTATTTGATATAATGTTGTCAGGTCTCTCCTATCACCAGCCTGTTCTGCTTCACTTGCCAGTGTTTCGTAGAAGTGTCTTTTGTCTTTCCGTGCACTCTTCTTCACTTCTTTGTTCAGCGTAGTGTTTTATACATTGTACTCAGTTCCTCTTCTCGTTGTGCATCCTTGCACTGGTTTATTTTCTGCTTCACCATCCTACTCTCCCTGTTTTATGAGCTTGCATATATCCGTCGAGATCAATTCCTTGTCTTCTTTCTTCCCTCTTCCTAATACGGTTGTGCAGGTTTCTGTCCACATCTCTTTCAAAGACTTCCAGTGTTCTTCCACACAGGTTTCTTCAGGGATGTTCCTCGATATTTCCCATTTTGTCTTCATGGCTGACGTGAAGATTTCCTTTATAGTTTCATCTTTCAGTTTCTGTTCTGGGTGTTGTACTTGAACTGTGGTCTATCACCAGCTTCCTTGAAGGCTTTTAACTTGATTTGGAAGGTTCCTTGCACTAGATAGTGAGTGGTGTGAACCTACATCTGCTCCTCTTCTTCACCTTGTGTCAAGTAGACTGAGTCTCCATTTTCTCGAGATTGGTCGATTTGGTTTTAAGTGTGTCCATCTGGTGAAATTCATGTTGCTCGCTTTGTGGATATCCTTGTGCTTGAACACACTGCCTCACTGCAATCACCAAATCGTTGAATGCACAGAATTCTGCAAACAATTCTCCATTCTCGTTCATCACCTCACCGAGCGCTTCTCGACCCATGATCAGTTAGTTCTCTTCCTGTGTTGTCCCCTCCCAGTTTGGCATTCATGTCGCCCATTACAATTTTGATATCATCAACTGACGTCCTGTCCAGTGTTGATTGAAGTTGTCTGTAGAAATCCTCCTTTTTCTCTTGCTCTGCATTATTTGTAGGTGCGTAGTGTAGCATTGTATGATTGCTACCTTCCTTCCTTTTGATTTGAGCCTTGCTGTCATGATCCTGGAGGAGATTGTTTCCCACTGCATGACAGCCTTCGATGCTCTTCAAGGGGACATCATGATAGCCACTCCATAACTCAGTGTGCTCGTGGTTGTCGTCTGGGTGACAGTACCGGAGTAGATTATTGATTTTCTAGTTGACAGTTTAAAGAGTCCACTTCCATTCCATCTGGAATTATTTTAGGCTTGACTAATTTACATTCTATTTTTCATAAATCAGCGACTCTTTAAACTGATAAAGTTCTACTTCTTATTAACCAATTAATCACATATGATGCACGTTACTTATTAAAATCTACTTCCGTGTTTTATGGCTAAGTCTCTGAAAATACAGGAAGTGATAACGTCCAACTGGTGAAGATTTGGAGGAAGGGGTAAAAGAAGGAAAACAAAATATAAATGTAGACAGCACAATGGAATGCTGAAAAAGAGAATATTTGGCCAGTTGGCTTTTTGTGATGCCTTATAATTTTTATCTTTACTGGTTGAAGTTTTTCAATAAATAATTTGTGCTGCTCCATCCACTGATAAAATCAGTGTAAATAGCCACTTAACTATTATTTGGACAAGAAAAGCATTATGATCCCTCAAGGTAAATTTTTTGAATAATAAAACTTACATCGTACTACGGACAGAAGTAGTTTGAAATGGTAAGTTCAGATAAACAAGTTGATTAGTCAGGAAATAGTTGTTCGGTAATTGAAAAATGAATAAGATGAAGTTGCACAATCCTACGTTGGTTAGATTCAACAAAGCACCTATTAAATGAATAGAACGAATGTTTGATCTATAAGAACTGTATTCAGTCATTCTCAAAAGTAAGGATAAAATAATTAATACGCTGTCATCATAAACATGATTGAAAAAAATTCATATTATGTTGCTTAGCAGTCAGAATACAATATATTATTTGACATTTTTACAGGTAATCTCAACTACCGCTGAAGTAATTGAAATGGATAACACACACATGCACACATTCAATGGCATCAGATGAAAACAGAAAAAAGAAGTATGCTTTTCCGAAATTTCCATCATTAAATCAACATTTTACCGAGCCAGATAATTTTTACTGAACCTTAAGGATGAATAGGTTTTAAAAACCATTCCACTCATTAGTTTACAATTATAGAAATGGGATGGCGTGACAGTGGAGTAATGACTAAAAATTCGCTATTTATTACTAGATCCCTTTTATAACTTACTGATAAATCTGTCGATTTTAGGCTAAAACATTCCTATAGATGAGCTGTTTGTTTAAGAGCGAGATATAACCAAAGGATTATGCTTTATAGCTAACTGTCCGTCAACAGCTCAACAACAGTAATTATTCTAAATATATTTAGAGATTATCTCTAGTCTGTAAATATTCATTTGGTACAAACGGGCCTCCTATTGGAATAAGAAAATAAATTGAGTGATCGTATAGTAAGCATTAAATCGAAGAGAAATCGCATCAACTCTTCATTAATTGTTTTCGGACCAAGTGGCATTTGTTTAGGTATTTCAGTGGTAATAGGTAGGTTAAGTAGCCCATCTGGGTATTTATGAATTAATAAGAGATGTGACAATCTAATGATCTCAGTTGTATTCAGAAATTATTTTAGTAATAAATGGGACAATTGCTGAGCTTTTAATTTCTGGGAACAAAATATATCAAGGTTTATAGATTTCGGTTCAGGTTTTGGTCACAGATAAGCAGTAGATAACACTATTTTCCCGATAACTATCTCCAAGAAATTCCAGTATCAAAATGTGTACATAGTGATTCAGCTTGTTGAACGCTTCAGTCTCCAAGATGATTTGTAAACATGATGTAACCGATTTATTTTTCACATATATTTACATCAGAACACTAAGACATCTACGTATAGTCAAACGATTCAAAAAGTTCCATTTTCATAAAGACTGAAACAAAATGGACGATAAGGACGCATGCATACGAAGTATTAACAGATTAAGACGACCTTGTGCTGGATCCGACGCCTATTCATTGAGCTTTGTTACATTGCTATTGTGTCTCGAAAAAACACGTTTCTTTCAGCCTGATTTACAAAAATATCTGAGTTTTTATAAAATCTTTTAGCAGTTTCAAAAAGACTAACTAAACAAATAGTTCAAACAAATATTTATGTTTCCATTTCCAAGAAGTGGTATATTCAATCCACTGAGTAAACACTGGATACTTTTTAATTATATTTTTTAAGTAAACTAAGTAGACTGGGAACATTAACTAGATCATAATCCCATCTTTGAGGGATTTTTAACAATAAGCATTTAGGCCTCAACTTCCAGATATGAAATAAAGATTGCTCAAATTGTGTAATCCCTAACTACTTCAATATCAATCATTTAGTCTTTTTCACCATGTATTTATCAGTATTTCAACAATCCTAGGAGGAACAAGGGTTAAAGGCTACTTTCTTTTCAATACAAATAAGTAAAAGTATAATGTAGGTCTTTATTATTCGATGAATTTTTCAAAGGTGATTATTGAGGTGTCGTAATGTCGTAGATGCAAAAGTGGTATCTAACACAACACCTAAAATCTAGTATTCTGATGAATTCAGTGCAATAACATATATGAAAGTACATACACTTGTGGCTCCTAAAGGGATTATTCTATCTTGACTTTGCTTCTGGTCATTATTAGGGAACATCCTTCAATCATCCTCTGTTACAGTTGCATTCAATACGATCTTTCGTCTTCATTTCCTTCCGTAGCTTAGATACCCATTAATTTACCTTTAAAATCTTTTTTATGTTGTTATCTCAGATATCAGTCTATCTTGCTTCTCTTTATGGAAAAATATAAAAAAGAGTAGGCGAAAAAAAGGAATTACCATTCGAATTGTTTATGGCTAGCTGATATATCTGCTATTTGTCAGAATAATTATTGACAAGAGCTTTTAGAAGAAACAAGAATGGTTGGAGTATCATACTTGAATCCTCATCTCAGTACTACTTTTATGAATATTTTTTCCCGGGGTTCCTTGTTGCTTATTCTTACTGGCCATCTAATCTTCATTAACGAGCGTGGCAGCTGTTGATGAATGTTTGCAGTTTATTGGAAGTGCTTTCCGTGACGCACCAGGTCTCTGAACCATAAAGGAGCACCGATTTGACGTAGGTATTGAAAGTCCGGATCTTGTTCTTGTGTTGAGTGGGGTAGATCTGCACAGTGACTTCAAATTAATGAAAGCCTGTCTTGCTTTTCTGATCCTGGTTTTGACATCTTCATATGTGCTGCCACCACCACCTGTAGTTGGAACGATGCTGCCTAGGCAGGTAGGTGAAACAGACTACTTACTTTAAGTTTCTCCCGCTGATTGTTGACCTGTGCTTGTTGTTCATGCTGTTGTTAATTAGGTATCTTCATCACCTCTGTCTTCTCTGCATTCACTTGAAGTCTCATTTTCGTTGCCTTTTCTGTTAACTCGTTAGTTTTTGCCCGTAGATCTTCCAGTTTGTGCAACATTAGACATAAATGGTCATCGACGAAATCCAAATCTTCTCCTAGGGTCTTTACATCGGTCCAGCCAGCGTATGCCCATCTTCTTGCTCCTCAGAGTTTGCTGCTTGATCCAGTCCATTACAATCATTAGGCTATTATTTTGAAGGAATACTATTTCATTTGGATAGAACTGAGAAGTATTAACTTTCCACTCAGCATAATAAGACATGGATGAGTTGTGCATCCCTCATTTTCACGATAGCCATATGCAACACAAGCAGTGTAAGCTGAAGCGGTTTGATATCAGAACTCCTTGGACTTTTGATGGAGTAAAATGTTAATCCTATGGAAACTGACTTTATACTCAAGCTGTTTTCTTCTTGGTATTACCTTAGTTAAAAGCAGGTATGCAATTTTCCTCATCTTTTTATTCAGTTCAACAGTGAATAACTAAAAGTCTACTGGTCCTGTCATCAGCTTACCTCGAACAATTGGTCCCAGTGTCCTAAAGGAAAATAAATGTTTACGTATTAGTCCAGCAGTTCTTCCTATCATATAGGAATAAATAGAAACGAGAATTTTTTAAGACAAGTATCAAGGGATTATCAAGATGTGATTGAATAAGACAATCTAATAGGGAACAAGACCCTAACTTGCGGAAAGAAAACCGATTATGAAAGTCATTTTAAATAATATCCTCTTTTCCTTAGAACAATAAAACAGCTATTTTATTACTCATAGTACTTGCAGTTGCCGACAATGAACTTTATATACTTTCGTATTTGAGAAAACTACGCCTTTTTTAATTGCTCACTTGCAGGTGGTCTCTTTTCTTTTCCCAAACAACAATTGTTAGCAGCCTTCTCCAGCTGATTTACTGTCTTACTCGTTAAAGAAAGTAATTTCTGAAAACCAAATTAGCACTGAATAGACCCTATATTTAGGTACGTAAAAATTAAGGCTTTTTTTAACGGTTTACCGTCCTTTTTAATGTTAGGGGGAAATTGTAATGAAAATTTTGGTCTTTTTAAGAATCAATTTTTCATCCATAGGTACCAATGTTTTGTAAATGCTTTGATATTTCCATCTCTCCAACTATCTCCTCCATATTATCTCTTTCAGAGAGTTGGATTGAGGCTGATGCTGTCCTGCAAGTAAACTCGTTTTCAGCTGTTATTTCACACAAACTGTCTCGACTTGAAATTAGGAACTGCTTGTATTAACAAAGTCTCTAAACCAAAGCTGGTTAAATTTCAATGAGAAAGGAATACAGTATAGTGCCTTGCTATAGTATATTAGACACGAAAACTTGTTCCGAATTTGACTTCTTATGGTTGCCGAAATCTGCACTGCATGCCTTATGTAACTCATTGGTTTGCCAGACACACACCAAAATAACAAAATAAGTATCGTAAGTAGTAAACGTTTGCTCAAGTTGGCAAATACAAGCTGGATATATATACATATATATATCATGCAACTAGTGTAAAAACTAAACACGTAGTTTTCAGGCAGTTGGATATCAATTCCCTTAAAGCTAAAATGTGGTTTTGTTTACTCCTTAATCTGAAAAATATTTTTTTATAATCCCTGAAAATATTTTGTCGATATAAGTAGTAAAAAACCTATCTTTTTTCTGAGAGAAACTGACTGTACTTTAAACATCGTTTTTTTAATATATCCAATTTATTGACAAGCAAATGTTTACTGATTATATACCACCTACGACATAACACTGTATATCAATCTTTCTATTTATACGATGATTGTAAAATAAGCTGAAAAACATATGTTATTCAGATAAATTTATTGTACCTCAGCTGATCAACTGTAGCTGAATGATCAGTTCGAATTGGCTGGTAAATAGTTTTCATATATAAGCCCATAGCAGTAATCCGTAAGACATACTGAACGATTCCTGCAAACAAGAAAACTTCCAGTCCAGTTTATTGAAAATTAATACTATTACTATAATGCTTTATGATTTTGCATCGAAGTTTGTATCCAGTGACAAAACCGACAAATAAAGTCTTCGGGTGATATTTTGTTAATGGTGAGAATGACATGGTCAGGTGAAGTTCTCTGATTACCCGATTCAAATTGTCCACTGTTAGATAACCCTTATGTTGTCGATAACCATTTGATATTTATCCCTCAACAATATGTATATATAAGTGCAGAATCTAAGGAGAAAGTTATCGAACAGAAAACTCCTTGTTGCAATAACTGTTCTCTAAGATGTGTGACTTTGTAATTCAGGGGATTTGAGCTGTCCAGATCTGAATATATTACTGATTAACTCAGTAGTATAAAGCCGTTACAGTTGTTTCCCATAGGGAACAACCTGTACACCATG